GAACACGCACTTAATAATACGATGCAAAGGTCAATCAATCAACATCCAAGTCAAGTTTTGTTCGGAGTATCTCAGAAGGGAAAAGTTATAGATAGCTTAAAAGAGAAATTAGATGAGTTAAATAAAGATAGCGAAAGTAGAAATTTAGAAATAATAAGAGAGAAAGCCAGTAAGAGTATTGAAAAGTTACAAGAATATAATAAATTACGTACAGATCTTAAAAGAAAAAACCCTAATGAGTATGAGAAAGATGATTTAGTTATGATAAAAAATTTCGACTGTCATGTAGGCGTATCTAAAAAATTAATACCGAAATTTAAAGGCCCTTATAGAGTGACTAAAGTTTTGCGTAACGATAGATATGTCTTGGAGGATGTTGAAGGGTTCCAACAATCTAGGCTTCCTTATAAGGGAGTTTGGGCAGTAGCAAATATGCGGCCATGGATACAAAATGTAAATAGTTAAGAGATCAGGAGCTCTCCGGTCAGGATGGCCGAATTGTAGCAATAAGTTACACACACATACACATACATACATATATATTCCTAAGCAGCTGTTTATACATACATACACTTACTTTAAGTTAGGTCACACTATTTGTACATATATACATCCCTGTTACTCCAAGTAACACTATACTTGTCTCACTCACACACACGATGTACCTAACCCTTGTGAAATAGGCTAAGCGTGCAGAGTTCTGCTTAATAAAGATCACTTTTGCTGCGACCATCAAACAAGAAGCACACAAATCGGCTGTCTACAATATAAATATTAATATTAATCAATAAATATTTAAGAGCAAAATTAAATGAATAACTAAAAGGAATAACCAGAAGAGAGCCAGATCAATTTGAGTAAAAATAGGATAACAAAATGTGAATAGACTTTGTACAGCGCCTCACGTGATGCTTCCGAGGCGTAGCTAGTAGACTGCTTGACTGCAAACTGTGAGGCGAGCGGTTAGCGGTTCGATTCCCGCGTGCGGCGACCAAGATGTTTTTCTCAAAATAGTAAGTTATTGGGTTTTTATATTTATAATTTGTAATTTGGATACTCTTTTCAGTTATTATTACAGTTCCAATTAGAAACCACCCATGTGCTCAATTAAAGGAAATTTAAATAAGGTGACAAACAAGAACGAAAAAAAAAAACAACACAAAGGCCGTGGCGTCACAGAAACAACCGAGTATAATTCCGAAGCCCGAAAACAGATTTTTGTATTTTCTGAATTGGAGAAATTTTTTTTGTTATTTAAAAAATATTTGTCTATATTTAAAAAAAAACGTATTTATATTTTTTAGAAAACCTTTATTTCTAAATTCTAAGAAATATTTTTTTACTTTCTAAATTGCAGTCTTTTTTTTTTTTGATTTTTAGAAAAAAGTCTTTGATTTTAAAGACCTACTTTCTTTAATATAGACAAAATCGCCAGTAAAGCAAATTCATAGGCGATTTTCTAAAACCAAGGGCGATTTCAGTCGATTTTTTTTTTGGGTGTGTGTCCTCAATTTTTAGGACACTCATCAGGTTTTTGTGAATTGTTTTGAAATTTTTAAAATTGGTTTTCTTCCTTCCTTCACAGTGACGATTCACAAACAGTGCCCAAACCTGTCACAATTTTAAATAACATAATTCTAAACGATCTAAGTAGTTTTGCTTTGAATATAAGCACATGAGCGTAGCCTACTATTATTTTGGGGCTGAAATGCCTGAAGTGTAATCCCCCTCCAGCTTTTAACTTACGCCCATGTATAAATATTTTTAAAGCAAGGGTTACTTGTGCTCAAAAATAGTTATGCGTTACGTAAAATAGTGACAGGTTTGGGCACTGTTTGTGAATTGTCACTGTGAAGGAAGTAAGAAAAACTTTTTTAAAAATTCCAAAACAATTCACAAAAACCTGATGAGTGTCCTAAACAGTAAGGACATAAGGTGTCTTTGGATCAAAAATGCATTGTAGAAGAAAATATTTTTATTTAATTTTTAAACGCTGTTCACAAATGAAGATTTTTAAACTTTGCTGTGACTTTAAAATTTTGAATGCGCCCACCTCCTCTTGTGGTTGAGTTGGATTGAATTTTCCAAAACGACCGTATAAAACAGACATGTAACTATTTAATTCCGAAAAGATTACCAAAATTGGTTGACCACTCTTGAAGATATATCCCAAAAGCCGAAAAAATGTTGTGATTTTCTTAAATTAAAGATACCGCAAATACCAGAGCTGATGGACTATAGGCGTAGTGGCAACTTATGCTTAGAAAAGCCTCATTTATCGAAATAAAATGGTGGCAGGCCTGGACATCGACCCATGTCACATTTTGTCGGCCTGTGTAATTAATTCTGGGTTCAAAAACATTTCATACTTAATTACGCCCGAAAATGTTCTCAAATTAAGAATGTCGGTTTAAGAATAAAACGTTCTTGAAATGAAAAAACAAGCCCATTTCGTACCTGTCGCACTTTCAAGACCGTTTGGGCTTGAAACAAGCACAATGTGCTTGGTTTTTTTTCTGAAAGTACTTTCGTTGTTATACATTAAATTTAATTAGACGAACAGTTTTCGTTCTTCTTGAATTCCGGGAGAACGACCGTTCCCATTTAGGTAAAACTAATATAATTTAATGTATAACAACGAAAGACTGCTTTGTTTTTTAATGTTTTATTAAATTATGCAGAAAGTAATGGAGGTCCCATGACGAAACTTTTAGGAGCCAACAAGAATTATGTATAGAACATTATGCTATTTTTTTATAAAGATTAAAAATGCCGATTTGCAGAAAACCGCGAATGAAATATTTATTATACCCGTTACTCGTAGAGTAAAAGGGTATATTGTATTCGTGCAAAAGTATGTAACAGCTAGAAGGAAGCGTTTCCGACCCCATAAAGTATATATATTCTTGATCAGGATCACTAGCCGAGTCGATCTAGCCATGTCCGTCTGTCCGTCTGTCTGTCCGTCTGTCTGTCTGTCTGTCTGTCTGTCTGTCTGTCTGTCTGTCTGTCTGTCTGTCTGTATGAACGCTGAGATCTCGGAAACTATAAAAGCTAGAAGATTGGCATTTTGCATGAATATTCTAGGAGCTTCTACGCAGCGCAAGTTTGTTTCAAAAAGGTGCCACGCCCCCTCTAACGCCCACAAGCCCCCTTTAACGCCCACAGTTTTGAAGCTATTATGAAAATAGTAACTGATATGTATTCGCTTCGTCAATACCTATCGATTGGCCAAGTAAAAAATTGCCACGCCCACTCTAACGCCCACAAACCCAATAAACGCTTAAACCTGGCCATCGCCTACATTTCCGCCTTTCATGACCAGTAGTACCAATATCTGGCGGTAGGTGGCGCAATACAATATACACTAGCGCCATCTAGGAAATGGCATTGGAAAAAATCTGCGTTTTTTTCTGTGGTCACTCTAATTCACATTATGTTAATGCAAATTTTAAATTATTTGAAATGGGGCGCGCATTTTGTCTCTTTTTGCTCGTATACGTTTTTCACAAGTGCATTTACCTGCGCTAGAGAGAGACGGAAGATGTGCTAGGCAGAATTGAAAGTTCTAGAAAGCCTCTTCTAGAAAGAGATCCCTGGGTAAAAATCGAGCGGCAAAAAACATATAAGAAGGCATATTTCTATTAAGTTGTTTAGCTGAGTAACGGGTATCTAATAGTCGAGGCACTCGACTATAGCGTTCTCTCTTGTTTTTTTTAAGTTTGGACTGTATTTTGCATTGGAACCATTATGGCTGTTATTTTCATTTGAAAGCTTGGCAAAAATAATAATTTTTGAGTATTTTTATTTACTTTTTACCCCACGTAATTTAAAATTATAAATGAATTAAACAAAAAAATAGCATCGCCATATCTTCGCTTCTGTCAAATGAATTTTTTTTTAACTTTTTTAAAAATCCTTTTTAAATGGTGTGATAGTATCATAAAAATTAGATATCGTTTTGAGACCATGAAGAAAATCTCGATACGTTTCACAAAGAATCACTCATATGTGTACTATGTGTACTATACACATATGTATGTATATATATATATATATATATAAAATGTAATTTTCTATTTTTCCCTAATGACGTCATATAAGAAAATCGAATGGATTCGAATAACTCGAATGATTTCAGCTTATTCAAATATGACATTCTGTTTTTCGTTATCACTCGTTTAACTCTATGCCTTTGCTGTCATACTCTATACGGACCAAGATTCAATCCATTCTAGTCATAGTGTGCTGAGCACTTACTCAACTCTATTCTATTCGAATGGAATCATTTCAAAGCCTGTTTGATTCCAGTCATGCAGATGTCTACTCCAAATTTCGAAATTTTCACTCTTTCACTTTCACCGCTCTCTCTCCCAAGCCAATTGATTTTCTTAAAGTCTTGGTATGCAATCCTGTTAGTTTTCGCAATACCTTTCGATAGGTGTATCATTCATTATGATCGGACCATCACAGTAGATTTTCATTTCTTCGTGTATATATAGTAGTCGCCTTCGCACACTCTCCTGGTGCGCTTCGTCACTACATGGACTGCCGTCCATAGTGATATCACTAGTTTACAGCACTGGACTATAGAGTTAACTTTTGTTTTTAAATAAAATATAATTTTACCATAGCGCAAAATCTTATTTGGACGTCAAGTCCTCGGCGTTCCCTCGTTCAACCGTATTTATGTTACTCAACCCGCCTCCCAAATATTTGATTTCATTGGTCTGTATTTATTGCGGTCTCTTTCCGTGTTCTCCAATAGAAGCCACCCCTGCAACAGGTGCTGAATTTCATTTTCAAGAGAAGCAAACTCATTTGCACTTGAGCCCACAACAACAAGTCTCACTGACAGGATTTGCGAAGAGAGAACAAGGGGGCTAGCTAGCCAAATGTTGATATTACCCACCTGAGCCCGTTCACTTTAGAGGTAGGAGAAATCAACAGCAGGGCCGGGAGGGAAACTTCAGAACGACGTCAGCCCAAACTTGCTTCACTTCAAAGCAAATAAGTAAGGACGAGAGTTTTCCACCGGTTATTGCTTTGATCTACTGAAGCCTTCGTCAACGAGATGGCTAATCCATTCCGCTGGTGTCTCGTGTCGCAAGACTGTGTGCTGCAGATTAACGTGGTGCTGGCGGTGGTGGGCCTGATCATCCTGCTGGATGTTTTCAGCCACCTCTACCTGAAGACGGTCATGTTCCCCGGACTTAATCTCTACCCAGTGGCTTTGCGCGCCTGGCTCTTTTGGGTGCGCGTTTTGACAATGGTTGTCTATGTTCTCAACGCGATCCTGGGAATTCGCATGGCCCGGAATACATGCGTTTTTAAGTTCGCTGGATACATGCTCATTGGCTGCGTGGTATTGCTATACACATTTAGCATAGCGGTGACGCGATTCATGTATCGGCGCAGGTTCGAGTTCTTCGTCCAGATGATGGTCCTCCAGATGTGGATAAAGGATAGTCTAGGTAAGGTCGAAGTGGAGTTCGGGTGCTGCGGTAAGACCAGCGTGGTCGACTACCAGAAGTGCTCCACGAACCGCACCTGGGCTAGTGGATCATGTTGCGGGGAGAAGAACTGCCCCGGATGCATATCGAAACTTACCGAGTACCTGTGGACTATCGAGATGGACGTGGCGCGGGACAACATAATCGTGTCCTTGTTCCTTTTCGTGGCTTTGATTGTAATGGTAGCGCACTTCATAGACGTGCAGTTCCAAGAGGAGTCTTACGATTCGGACGACTCCGAGGAGACCTTAACAGTGCGCGGGGATGACATGAGCACGATAAAAATAGGCCCATCCCAATCCGGCCATGACGGTGATTAGGGTTTAAATTAACGGCCTTTGCAAGCTCTGGTCAATTTAACTTTAGTTCAACATTAATACTCATCGCCTCGGGCCACAGTGTTAGTCAGTCATCTTGTTGCGGCTCATTAATCTGGAAGACAGCGAGGCTCCCATGTCTCTCACACCAAGCCCACGGAACAGAATGCAATAAATACAATTTAATGGCTGAATAGTTTTACACATAATTATTTGGCTTACTTGAAGATCTCCAACAGAGCCCTGAGAAGAGTTCAAAAAATGAGAAAACGATATACTCGAATACCTCGACTATTAGACAACCGTTACTCAGCCAAAGTGCGAGAGAGATGGGGAAAAGCACGCAGTAAAGCGACTGCTTGCACTGCTTGGATTTCATTATTGGCTTTTTAATGAGTGGTACGATTTGAAAAATATCTTCTAAAATTCGATAGGTATTATTAAGAACAACAAAATTGCATTTATATTTTTTCGAAATATTTAAAGATGTGGGCGCCAGAAACATGAAAAAAATGGCGCTCAGCTGAAAGAAACTTGCGTTGCGTAGGAAGCCCAAGAATATATTTGGTTAGCCCCAACTTTCTAGCTTTTGATTTTTTTCTCAGCGTTCAACCTTCTAGCTTTTGTATTGGGTTGGCAAGAAAGTCATGTCGTTTTTTTAGTAATTATACCCGTTACTCGTAGAGTAAAAGGGTATATTGTATTCGTGCAAAAGTATGTAACAGGGAGAAAGAAGCGTTTCCGACCCTACACCCAAAAAAAAAAATCGACTTAAATCGCCCTTGGTTTTAGAAAATCGCCTATGAATTTGCTCTACTGGCGATTTTTTCTATATTAAAGAAAGTAGGTTTTTAAAATCAAAGACGTTTTTTCTAAAAATCCAAAAAAAATAGACTGCAATTTAGAAATTTTTTGCTAGAAAGTAAAAAAATATTTCTTAGAATTTAGAAATAAAGGTTTTCTAAAAAATAGAAATACGGTTTTTTTTAAATATAATTTCTCAAATTCAGAAAATACAAAAATCTATTTTCGGGCTTCGGAATTATACCCGGTTGTTTCTGTGACGCCACGGCCTTTGTATTGTTTTTTTTTTTTCGTTCTTGTTTGTCACCTTATTTGAATTTCCTTTAATTGAGCACATGGGTGGTTTCAAATTGGAACTATTATAATAACTGAAATGAGTTTACAAATTACAAATTATAAATATAAAAACCCAATAACTTACTATTTTGAGAAAAACATCTTGGTCGCCGCACGCGGGAATCGAACCGCTAACCGCTCGCCTCACAGTTTGCAGTCAAGCACTCTACTAGCTGCGCCACGGAAGCATCACGTGAGGCGCTGTACAAAGTCTATTCACATTTTGTTCTCCTATTTTTACTCAAATTGATCTGGCTCTCTTCTGGTTATTCCTTTTAGTTGTTCATTTAATTTTGCTCTTAAATATTTATTGATTAATATTCATATATTTATATATTTATTATGGTTCAATAGTAACAGTAATTGAATGTTTCAAGTTTGAAAAACTTAAACATCATTTTTATCAAAATATAGTTATTTATAAGCTAAAAAAATGCAATACATTTTTTTTTATTAATATTTAACTATTAATGTTAAAAAAAAAACAAAAAGACACCATGAGTTTTTCGTCTCGACGTGGGTTTGAACTCACTCTTGCAGCCGCAAGCTTGAATAAGATATGCATGCACGCACGCGTTAGACCCCTAGGCTACCAATCCCGGAAATTTCTTCGATTAATAGCGATTTTTTCTTGAGCTAAAAAAAACTTTTCTAAAAAGTGTATAAGAAGGAAAATTGATCAAATACGGTTAAATTTTTTATTTTCTAGAAAAATATTTCTTAAAATCACACATTTTTTTCTAAATGTTAGAAAAATCTTCAAACATTTTTTCTGTTTTTAGAAAAACAATATTTCTATTATGTAGAAATATTTATAATTTTAATGGCAATTTTTTTTTAGTTTTAGAAAAGTTCAGTCTTTTTTTTTCTAAAATCAATGGCGATTTTAACCCTCAAAAAAAGAAAGGAAGATTAGAAAAATAAACCTTATAATTTATAAAAAAAAAATTGATTTTTATGTATTTCAGAAAATATTTTCTAAAAAAACTCGTTCAACCCAAAATTTTTTTGAGGATTAGAAAATTTTTCTGAAGATTAGAAAATTTTTCCTCTTTATAGAATATTTTTTTTAAGGAACAGAACAATTTTTTTTTCTATATTTAAGAAAAAATAATTTTTTGAGTGTATAAAGTATATATATTCTTGATCAGGGTCACTAAGCCGAGTCGATATAGCCATGTCCGTCTGTCCGTCTTTCCGTCCGTCTGTCCGTCCGTATGAACGCTGAGATCTCAAAAACTACAAAAGCTAGAAGGTTGAGATTTTCCACACATATTCTTGGGCTTCCTACGCAGCGCAAGTTTATTTTAGCGAGCGCCACGCCCCCTCTAACGCCCACAATCGCCCACTAACCATTTAAAATATGCATGGCGCCCACACCTTTAAAGATTTCCGAGAAGTATAAATGCAATTTTCTTGTGTATATTTATACCTATCAAAATGTAGAAGACATTTTTCAGATCGAACCATCCATTAAAAAGTTATACGCAATTAAAATTGTTTATTTATTCATCTCCCTCGCACTCCCTTTAGCTGAGGTTCGAACCATCCATTAAAAAGTTATACGCAATCAAAATTGTTTATATATTCATCTCCCTCGCACTCCCTTTAGCTGAGGCTCGATTATTAGATAGTCGGGACACCAACCCGAGTACAGCGTTCGCACTCCCTTTAGCTGAGTGACGGGTATTACACACAAAAAAAAAAACTATGTAAAATTAATATAGAAAAATAGTATTTCACTATTTTCTGAATTTTTCATGTATTTTGTTGTTTTATTTTTTGGGTCATTGAATAGTATTTAACAATTAAAATAGTAGAAAACCTACTTACGAAATTTGCATGTATTTTGTTGTTTTATTCATTTGGCAAGTTAATAGTAACGTCTCAATTAATATCGTAGCAAAACTATTTTATTTGTTTGCGTGTATTTTGTTGTTTTATTTTTTGGGGCATTAAATAGTAACACCACAATTAATATCGTAACACAACTATTTTTTTCCTTCATTTATTTTGTTGTTTTAAAAATACGATTATAAATTGTATGTCAACTATTTTTCTGTACTTAGGGTGGTTAGAGTATCCGACTCATAATCTCTGGGTCGTGAGTTCAAATCCCGCTTTTGCAGATGATATTTTTCTTTTTTTTTTTTTTTGTTAAATGTTGATTTCAAGTCTATAGATTTTCCTCTACAAAAAGCATTCTTCTATGGTCTAGTGGTTAGAGTGCTTGACTCCGATGGTTGCGCGGCCCCGGTTCGATTCCCAGCGGAGGCAACAAACCTGTTTTAACCTGTTTAAGTATCTGTGAAATGTAAGTGTCTATAAATAACTTCCATATAAATTAATATAACAAATTAAATTAAAAATAAAATAAGTTAAAAACATAATTAAAAAAACAACAATTTTTTTCGGGGTAAATTTTATTTTGTAGGTCATCTACTATTTTATAGGTAACACTAGTTTACAAAATAATATTCTTGGTGTGCTCCCCAGCAATTGATGGCAAATTCTGTTAGTGCTGGACCCCTAGATCACAAAAATAGCACTTTTTTTTTTTCGATCGCACAGTTTTTTTTTAAAGATTTTTTAAAGTTCGAAATGTTAAATTTCGGACTTTTTTCAATTTTCTTCTTATATCTCGGCAGATATCCACGCGGTTGGGCCAGTTTTAGTTTTATTTTAAAGTCAATAGATCAGAGCTTAACTTTGCCATACAGATCAATACGATTGGATGAGTAATGGCAGCGCAGAAGCTCGACAAAGATGAAAAATGTGTTTTTTGGTCGTCTGTAAGTCGGCTGTATATATCGTAAAAACTCGAAATAAATCCGTTGAAAAATCATAATGGGTACAAACTTAAAGTTTACATCCTACCGAATAAAACAAGCCGGATATGGCCCAAATCTATGGAAAACTGGATTTTTGGTGGATTTTTAAAGATCGGATTTTTAGACTTTTTTCCGTTGACAGAGTCCAAATTTAAGATTTATCATAGGCGGCGACATGTAATCAAAAATAATTGGTGTTGGCAGCCGTGTCACTAAATTTTTGTCACTATTTTTGTGATCTAGCTATTTAGCTATTTTAGTTTTCACTATTAAATAGTTGATTTTACATAGTTTTTTTTTTTGTGTGTATATGGTCGGGTCACCAACCCGACGATAGCGTTCTCTCTTGTTAATTTTAAACTCGTCACATTTTGCATTCGCTGAAAGGAAATGAATAATTTTATTTGTATTTAACAACATTATCGACTTTCAAGAAGAAACATAAACAAACATTGTGTGTATGTATTGTATTGTACATGGATTGTACAAATCAAAGCATATTCAAATATGCATATGTACATACGTATTTGGTCAAAAGTTCGAATCTTAAGATTAATATTTAACTTGGAAACATTTTGGCTTTGTTTACAGAATTTGTACTAATTTTTTATCTTCTTCCACGGTGAAAATTAAATAAGGCTCTTACTTCTGCTAAAAAATGACAAATATTTTTTGAAAAATAAAACCTAAGCATTTGATCCACAGGACTGACTATTGATCGAAAATCATATTGATCGGAACAGCAGTTAAAGTTTTTAAAATTCAAAACAAATTTTAACTAAAATTGCCCTTTTCCCCTTCCCCTTCCGCACAGCACTACCACACCCCATCGACAGTTTATTTTGCTGCTGCTCTCTCGGCCGTCGCTCTCTTGCCATCCGCTCTCTGGGTTTCGCTCTCTCGGCGGGCTCCCACGAAATGCAACGCAATAACTTAGGAAATCTAAATAAATTCGGTAAAAATACTTAAAAAAAATGTTAAAAATTTAAAAAATTAAACTTAAGCATTTGGGCCATAGAATAACCATTTACCAAAAAATCATCTCGATCGGAGCAGCGGTTTAGATTTTTTAAATCGAAAATTTAATTTTTAATGTAGCCCCCAAATTATGGGGGATATCGAAATTTCTTT